GCTATTTCCTTGCTTTTTTCCTACACCCCCCCATCCCCCGGCTTCCTTCCCGGTGTTTCTTTCCCCTGCGCCCTCCGCTGTCCCCCCTTGCTCCCTCCCCTTCCTCTCCCCTTCTTCCGCGGTTTCTTCCGTCCTTTCTCTCCCCCTCCTCCTCGCCGCCTCCCTTCCCGGCGCTCCCGCCCCCTCCCCCGCCCGTTGCCCGCAGACGCGCGGATAGTCCATGCGCTCCTCGCCGGCAGAATGCTGAGCAGCAGCGTCAAGAGCGTGCAGCCCGAGGTGGAGCTGAGCCTCGGCGGCGACGAGGGCGCGGACGAGCCGAGGGGAGCCGGCAGGAAGGCGGCCGCGGCGGACGGCCGCGGCATGCTGCCCAAGCGCGCCAAGGCGGCAGGCGGCGGCGGCAGTATGGCCAAGGCCAGCGCAGCGGAGCTGAAGGTCTTCAAGTCTGGCAGCGTGGACAGCCGTGTCCCCGGAGGGCCGCCGGCCTCTAACCTGCGCAAGCAGAAGTCGCTCACCAACCTCTCGTTCCTCACCGACTCCGAGAAAAAGCTGCAGCTCTATGAGCCCGAGTGGAGCGATGATATGGCCAAGGCGCCCAAGGGTTTGGGCAAGATGGGGCCCAAGGGCCGCGAGGCTCCACTGATGTCCAAGACGCTGTCCAAGTCCGAGCATTCGCTCTTCCAGCCCAAAGGCGGCCCGGCCAGCGGCGCCAAGACCCCACTGGCCCCCCTAGCGCCCAGCCTGGGCAAACCCAGCCGGATCCCGCGCGGACCCTACGCGGAGGTCAAGCCTCTCAGCAAAGCGCCTGAGGCTGCGGTGAGCGACGACGGCAAGTCGGATGATGAGCTGCTCTCCAGCAAGGCCAAGGCGCAGAAGAGCTCGGGTACCGTGCCCTCCGCCAAGGGCCAGGAGGAACGGGCCTTCCTCAAGGTGGACCCCGAGCTCGTGGTGACTGTGCTGGGCGACCTGGAGCAGCTGCTCTTCAGCCAGATGCTGGGTAAGTCCTGCCGCCCCGCCCCACCCCGCCCCTGGCTCTCCTAGCCAGCTGCAGGGAGAGGTGGGAAAAGCAAAGCTTCCTCTCTTTCCCCCTCTGCGGAAGGTTCTACTGGGCACTGGTCAGGTTGAGGGGAATTACTGCCCAGATATGTAGAGCTGGCCTACCTCCAGCTGTGTCTGGCTAAAGTGTGCCTTAAAGATGTTACTGGGTGGGAGCCTGGGCTTTGCTTGGCCTACCGGAGGTGAGGCCGGACAATGAGGGGGTCTTAGGTTCTTAGAAACAAAGCCATTGAATTTTGAGGTCCAGGGTCTTAATACGGCAAACTGGTAGAGACATCAGCTAAGGAGTGGTTTGCGTTGGGTAAGACAGCATCCAGTATTGCTAGGGTAGCACTGGTGAGAGTTCAGGTCTACAGCACAGATGTGGGGAGAGCAGATGTGAGGGCCAGTTGGCCCTGGAGCAGAACTGAGGCTTCACTTCCTCTGTGGATCCCGGGTGGGAGCTCGAGTCGGATTTCCCGGGTGTGGGGGACCTGGCAAAGGGAAGTGTCTGGGGCCATGGGGGCGGGCGGGCAGCCAGCTGCGTGCATCTGGATGCTCGTCCTTTCCCTCAGCCCCGGCTCTTTCGCAATCCCCCACCCCCTAGATCTTTTAAGGAAAGGTCTGGGGCTTTTGCGCAGAGACTCCCGAGAAGCCTTTGCCCTTTGGCTAATGGAAGCCAAGCAGGCGGGAAGGGAGGAACAAAGCTTGCTCGGTGGAGGAAGCCGGAGAGCTGCTCCATTGTTCTCAGAGCCTGAACAGTCCGAGCCAAAAATCCGGAGCCGGCCTGGGAACCGTGCTTGATTTCCCTAGAACCCCTGTCCTCAGGGGTAGATGGAGGATGTGTGGGGACAAGATTGTGTGTCTTGAAAGCCCGCACGGTCCGAGCAGAGGCAGCGAGAGAACCGGCGGCAAGCCGCCTTGACTGCACCGACTTGTTGCAGTGGTTGGGATGTGGTTGCTCCGGTGCCCGCGCCCAGGGACCCCAGCTTCCTGGGTACCTTGCAGACTGCCCGCCGGGCTGGGGGCTGGGAAGGGGCGTGTCGAGCGTGTGTGAAGGGGCGGGGCCGAGCAGAGGATGGCGGTCAGAGTGACCAGCAGGGTGGAGGTAAATGGGAGCACTGGCCTGGCACCTGGAGAAGGCTGAAGGAGACCTGTTTTGCTGCGTGCTGGTAGTCTTCCTGAGACCTCTCCACCTCCGGTGTGGGTCCCAGAAGAGGGTCTAGTGCAGGGGCAAGGATTCCGCCTATCTGACACAGATGGGTTTTGCAGTGGCAATTAAGAGACTGGACAAGGGCAAAAGGGGAAAAGTAGCCTCATCCCTCCAGAGCCCCCCTGAAAGCCACCTTGGCAGTGAAAAGGAGGGATGGGGTGTAGTGTTCAGAAGTGATGGGCATAAGGGCTACTCTATGCTCAATGCCTGTAAGAGGCTTTGCCCTCAAGGAGCTTGCAATCCAATGCAGTTAGACAGACAATAAAGGAAACATAAAATAATGTCAGGCACCAAGGAAGTCTGTGAGAAAATAGGGACTGGACTATGCCCTAGAAAGGGACTGAGAAAGCCAGCTGTATGCCTCTGTAAGGAGGTGGTCACTGAACTGTGACTGAGACATGATGATGTGACTGAGACCTTAGATGAACATATCCTGAGGGCTGAGAGTACTGAGGGAGAAAGGGCCTTCTTGTACCTTGGGCAGGGACCAGTAGAGGGCACAGCCCTGTTTTCAAGGTCAACCTGTTTTCCTCTGTTTGGAGTGACTTAGCTAATTTGGCCCTCCCCAGTCAAGGCATTTCTCACACTGCCTATCAAAGATCACTTAGTTGCTTCTCAAGAGGGGTCACCACAGAAACCAACAGATGGTCCTGGAGTTGACTAGGGGCAGTAGAGCAAAGCTGAGCTATGGTCCCTTATTCCTGCTCTGGAGTTGTTCTCTCCCCAAGCACACTTCCATAAGACTACTCAACTATAGTGTGAGAAGGGAACCTTTCCTTCGCCTAGCTGGGGAGACGCAAGGAAGGCCAAAAGGCAAGGGCTTGTCGCCTGAGCTGAAGTAGCAGGGAGAATGAATTTCCTCCTGAACCCTCAGTCACAGCTCTTCCTGGAGACCTGAAAAGAGATAAAGAGGGGCCTGATAAAGGTGGTATCTGCTGGGGATAGGCCACCAGAGCTGTCCTGATAACCTTACCTAGGGATAGAGAACTTTACTTTCAGGTGGAGGAAAGGGGGTGTGACATCTGCAGAACTTACTCTCGTGCTTCCAGCTCAGAATTCAAGGTAGGGTGATGTCCAAGCCCTAGAACACTGTCTGGTAGAAGATGGTGAAGAGGCAGCTGGTGACTCTAGGCCAAGTCTTTCTCCTGTGTGAAGACAAGGTAGAGGGTACACGGGCCTGGTGGCAGGGGAACAGTAGAGCTGATTGACATCCCAGGACCTATACAGGTATGCCCAGTGTCAGGACAAGCTGTTGGTGGAGAACTGGATTGCCTCTGGGGAGAATGCAGTCATATCTCCCTGGTACCATCTCGACCCCTACACTTGCAAAGACCCAGCTTCTGAGGCGAGGGTAGGAAGGTGGGGCAGCCCCAAATAAGAACCGTTCTGGAATAAAGGGAAGAAGTGAAACCTGGTCATCCCTTTGCCAAAACTCAGCTGGGACCCAGATGATCTTTGTCCCTTCCCTAACCTTGGAAGCTGCCAAGTTACTAGGGTCCCACAGGGAGCCCTGGAAGCTTAGACGCCTGAAGGTGGGTCCCAGGGGAAATAGGCCAAGTCCAGGACCCTAGCATGACAGTCCATACCAGACATTTTTGATCCTGGAAGAAAGCCACCAGGCCCAGGTCTGGGCTAAACAGAAAGGTATTCCTGAATTCCTTGTCCAGAAGTATTAAGTTCTGGTTTCTCCTTTGGGGCTCATTTTCCCCACATATGAGTGTAAGAGACCCTCCCATAACTTATCCTTTAAGGGAAGAGGAGGTGATTAGACCTTGAAGAGTGGCTTAAAGACAGCTATATTAACATAGAGCAGTTAAATACTACAGCAACATCCAAAAATCATACTTCTTCATCAGTCCTAGGCCTAAAGATTTCAAGCAGAAAAAGTCTGCTAACTCTCCCAAACATTCAACTTTCCTCCCCATTCAGTCCTCCAGGAAAAAGCAAGTAGAACAGTTAAGACTGCCCAAGGTCCGGATGTGAAAGAACCCAGGATTTTGGAGTTCCTAGTCCCACTTCCTCAGAGAAGGTATCTGGCAACTATGGAGAGGTTACCATGACAACAGTTAGGCTCTCAGAAGCTCAGGCCAAATAGAATTGAGGAAGAAAGGCAGGAAGCTATCCATTTCTAAGGCACTGGGTTGCTGTGGGGCTTTGGGGGCTGGGGATTGCTTCAGTACATTTACTCTGGATGCTCTAAGTACTGGAGGAAGAACTGTCTTTACAAGTACTGTTCCCCCATTTTATTCAATACCTTGGTAGAGGTAGAGATACTATGAATTTTACAGAGAACCGCTGCCCAGAGCAGACAAGTGTATGTGCAGCCTCACCCAGCATCAGAGGCTCTACCCAGAGCCATGTCTGGTGCTTCCCAGGGCTCCCTGAGGGCTAGAAGGAGAGTGTACAGAGTGCACCCTCCTTTCTGCTCTTCCCTGGACAGCAGTAGTTGGGCCAGAGGGAACCTGTGGAATTACAGGCTGAAGGGGTTGTAGCAGTATGCAAGTTCTGCAGTTGAATGTGGCTCATGCAGAACAGGAGCTGGCACAGAACCCTGGAGTGCAAAGCTTCCTGCCTTCTCCTGAGGAGACCATTTCTTTCTCTGTCATGTTCAAGATATTTTCATCTAAGGCCAAACTTTGAGCCTCTACCAAAAGAGTGGACAAGCGATCAGAGATCCTGTTCCCCTGTTCTGGTCAATGCCTTGGCCTGACTGCTGCGGCTAATGCTGGTCTCCTTATAAGACAACCTGGGTTCTGCTTCTCAGAGTGACACACAGTTGGATGAGTAGGTCTTAGGGTAAGCCCTCTACTTTGGGGAGAAGGTTCAAGTGGAACTGAAATGCCCAGAGCTTCTCTGGTTCTCCAAAGCATGCCCCAGGATGATGCTCTTCCCATTATTAACTGGCTCCAAGCCCAGACCAGAGGCCTTTCTGAACCTAAGTTTAATTTGTCTAAGCCACCTGGGACCTGGGGATGGGGGTGGGGGTGTTTCCCGACACTTTCCTCTTGTTCCACCCCTCTCCACCTTCTACTACCTAATCTACTTGGAGCTGTAACCTGCCACCTCCTACCTGCCCCTCACCCCAGGCTGTCCACACCAGTTTTCCTTCCTCTGCTAACCTCAGACTTGCCATTCCCTGAAGCTCTCGTCATATACTCATTTCCAGACCTCCAGCCTCTGACCCGAGGGCTGATGGTACAAGGGTCTTCCTGGAGCTCAAGGAAGAGCTGGTCCCACACTGACTGGAACCAGTGGGGTCCCCAGGGCCCACAGCTACAGTTCAGCGCCCTGCTGCTGAGCTGCCTATGCAGCACACTGCAGTATCTCCCTGGACAGGCAGCAACAGCAAAATCCCCTCTCTGCACTCCACCTCCCACAGCCTTCCCTGGGGTTTCATAGAACCAAAGAGTGGAAATTGTCTAGATGAGCCACCCACTGAAAGCTGAAATTAATCCCTCTGTGGTATCCTAGGCAGGTGGGTGTTCTGTTTACACACTCCCTGTAACAGAGGACTCACTACCTTATTTTCCTGGAAAGCACTTATTATCGGAAAGATCTTTTTTCTGTTGAGCCAAGATTCCGTCTTTTGAGAATTTCTGCCGTGGTCCATATTTACTCTTTGGATCCCTACAGATGAAGCTACTAGCCTGCCTTTCACAGGGGTAGAGACCTACTCAAGCTTCGGCTCATTTTCCTCACTTTGTTTTCTCTTTTTCATCTTTCTTACTTTTGTCTTTTTTGTTTTAAAG